CAATTTATTATTTTTAGTTGACAAGTAATTTAACATGAATATTTAATTTTAAACCAAATTTTACTTCATTATTAACGTGGACTTCAAACCTGGTCCATCCGAATCTAGAAGTTCAGATTTAAATTTTTTTTAATCCATTATTTGAGTATTTGTGCATTGGCAGAAGATTTCGGTAAGCAAATTTGAAGTCTTCATCACAATGACCGCCATTAACGTATATAAATTAACGTTGCTGCTACGAAACCCATTAATGATTAAAATATTTCTCAACTAAATTTAAGACCATGATTATGTGTCTTTCTTCTGTGTTAAGATTGTCTAATGTGGGTTTTCTTTTGAGCATCGAATCACTAATATAATTTTTTTCTGTTGGTAGAAGTTATAATAACATAATACTCCTCCGGTCCTTAATATAGGACCTAATTTTTGAGTTGGCTTTGGTCCTAAATATAAGACCCATTTTTTATATTTATTAATTTTCTTTAAATTACCCCTATTGATACTCCCTCAACCATAATCAAATAGAAGAGGAAAAATGGGTATTAAGAAAGATAATTATGGTGTTTTAAGAAAAATATGTCACTTTTCTTATAATTAATTAACTTACCTAATTTCCTTAATCTAATCAAATTAGTTAAATGGGTCTTATATCAAGGACCGGAAGAGTAGTATATTAATTCAAAAGTATAGGGTAGGAATCGCAGCCTTTAATGAAAGTTAAATCAGAATTTCTCCTTTTTAAGCGAATTTTACTTGAAGATCTAAATGGACTTTTTTTTTTCAAAGTTCAAATACCAGAAAGCTTGATGTGAAATATTCAATTTGACTTTAGAAAACATAATAATTAATAATATATTGGTAAAATCAAGTAGATAAGTACAAGTATAGATAAGTATCCACTGCTTTAAAAATAATATTCTTGAGTTCCCATTTGGGGGAGAAAACTTTGAATATAAATAAAATAGTAACAACATGAAAGCAACCATGAAAGTGCTCCATTTACTGTTTTTACTAATATTAAAAATAAGTGATGATGGTCCACAGTCCACTTAATTCACCCCATGAATGAATTTCCTCGACATTCACGAATGTTATATTAATGAGAGATCAAATTACCACAAAACACCTCCAATTATCTTATCAAAACTGAAAAAAGTGGTTACATTAAGTTTGTTTAAAAATAAAAATATTTTAAAATCTATTCATGTTTTAAATTATGAATTATATTTTGAGAAGAAAAGAATTACATTAAATTTTAAACAAAAATAATTTTAGAAATATATAATTGATATGTTACTTGATGACTTATAATAAAAATGACTTATTTCTTTTAAAAAATATCTTCTAATAATATACTATTGTGAAACATATCTCCTTATGTTGTTTATTTATTATGGATCATAGTCCATAGAGATCTCATCTGTCATTTTGAGAAGAAAACTTGTAAATTTTTATAGAGTTTGAAATTTTTGTGATCATAAGCTAATTTATAAACTAATTACACGAAATAAAAGGGAAAAAAAGCTATGAAGAGATAAATTTTATACTGTTGGCAAAACACACTCTTTTTATACTCCTCCGGTCCTTAATATAAGATCTAATTATTGAGTTGATTTTGGTCCTAAATATAAGACTCATTTCTCATATTTATCAATTTTCTCTAAATTACCCCTATAGATACTCCCTCAACCATAATCAAATAGAAGAGGGAAAAGAGGTATTAAAAAAGATGATTATGGTGTTTTAGGAAAAATGTGTCACTTTTTTTATAATTAACTAACTTACCTAACTTCCTTAATCTAATCAAATTAGTTAAATGGGTCTTACATTAAGGACCGGAGGAGTACTATTTTCAGAAAAAAATAGAAAAAAAGTTTTGTTTAGAAATTAATTGACAAATAATTTCTATGAACTTTGAACACTTTGACTTCCCTTGTGTGCATATATCATCTCTTCAAGTAACTGTGCTTTTTTTTTTTTCCTTCTGTGCAATTTTTTCTATGTGTAAATAATCATAATATTTTGTACGGACTATCTTTTATTTATGTAATTTAACTTTGGTTATAAGTAACTTTTTTTTTGTGTGCAACGCATCATCTTAGAAATTATTTGCTAATTATTTTTTTAATGAAAAACTTATATCTTTTTTTTTACTATGAAATAAAAATATTTGTCACTCATAGCTAGAGGTTTATTTTGAAAAATTATGAAAATTAAAGATCTCGACATCCTTTAGGCATAACAAATGATATATGTGATTGTTAGGGCTTATAGCCTAATTGACACCAAACACCTTTCTTAATTTTTTCATGCCCGAGTTTATGAACTTAAATCCTGGTAGAGAAAATAATGAATGTGTGATATAAGTGAAAAAATAATAGCAAATGATATGATCGCATACAATTAATTTTTTTATAAAACCAAAATTAATTTTAAAGTACAGCTGAGCCCTAGAGAACCACAAAGTCTCCTTTTTTTAAATTAACGCAAGTTGGGGAGTGCCTCACCCATCTTCTCTCCCCAGACACATAAAAAAAAAAAAAAGGTCAATACATGAGAGTTGGCCATATTATATTTCAATTCAAACCTTGTAAAATAACAATTATATCCCTGCAATTAAATAATCAGACAATTTGCATAACATGCGCTGGATGATATGGCCAATATAATTAAAAACAGAGTCGTGCTTGCTTCGATTAATAAAATGCATGGCAGTGGTATACTTTTAATTTTTATTTCATATGAAAAAAATTTTTTTTAAAAAAAGAAGAACCACTGAAATCTGGTCTGATACGTTCTTGGATTTTGACTTCGTCCCTGGAAATAAAAAATATATATCTATATAGGTTAGGTCATTTGTAATTCTACACCTACATTTGCTGGTGTTCTAGTTGAACCCTTTTATTCTATTCTCTTAATTCAAATTCTTACCAACAAAAATCCAAAACCAATACGTGTATTTTAAGATTTATATTTTCATTGGTTGGTTTGAAATGTCTTCTTAAGAGTATCTCATTATCTAAATGTCATGGCGACTATTTTCAGTGCTTAAAATATAATATGTTGGACATAAGTATTTAATGCAATTTAAATGAAATAATTCTGAATAAAGCAAGACAGAGATAAAGAAAAAAGGAAGAAGGGAAGCGGATAATTTTTTTGTTTTTCTAAAATTTCACTTAGTGCACTTCAGTATTTTCAGTCATTTAATTTATTTCATGACCAGGTTACAGTTCAATCATTAAATGACCGTATTTTGTTTTAAATTATAAGAATCAGTTTATTAATGGTTGAAATCTAACAAACTAATCAAGTTAAATTTTCGTCACCTGCTTCTATTTATAAGGTAGATAAAAAGTCTTTCATGATTCTATTTATAAATCGTCTCATTTAATTTTTGGCATGAATATACTATTTTGTTTTTAATTTATTATAGTATACATAGTTATTTTTTAAAACTTACTATATTTTAAAGAAAAGTTAATATAATTTAATTTTTTTTCCTGTTTATGTAAAGCATGCTGTAGAAGCAAACCAGCATGATTTAGTTGTGATTGGGTTAAAATTACGTGGATAAATAATTAATTTTTAAATGAAAATGAATTAGAGGGTCTCAAAGTAGAAACTTTTAACAATTTTTGAGGTCATAGTAATAAGAAAAAGAAATCAGAATGGTTTAGAGCTCTGGAAATTAGTCATTTCATTCATGGGCAGCTCTTTACCACAAAAAGGATTCTAATTAAAGTTAAAGTGGAAGACCCATTTTAGAAATCAATCTCAAGCAGATATGTTTTGGAAAAAGAGAGAAAGAAAATGGATATTCATCCTCAGAACTTCAGAACAGAATATCCCCATCAGAGTTCAACAGGTGCTTGAGTTGGCTGGCAACCCAAACAGATCACATTCACCTGAACCAGACAGCAATAAGCAGACTTTCACCTCTCTCTCTCTCTCTATATATATATATGTTATATTTGTCTGCTCCTCACGTTATCTTTTTTTTTTTTGGCCAACTGTCTGCTCCAGACGCTATCAATGAAATGAAAGGCATACTTGTCAATCATGATGATGATCATAGACAAATTCCAACCAGCCACTACTGGCCGCCCCTCAAAACAAACAATGCCCTCTCAAAAAGTAAACGCTGAATGGAAATGATTTTCTTAATGGAAGCATCCTCAACCTTTTATATATATATATATATATATATATATATATGTATTTACCCATTTGTCAGCATCACTCTTTCTCTCTCTTAACTCTCTCTCTCTCTCCGGATCAAGAAGCCAAATTGAAAAAATTAGTATGTCATGCTTCAAACAATTAGATCATCCGTAAAACCAATGATATAATAAGTAAATAAAGATAATAGTATATGCATATATCATCATACATATAAGTAAGAAATATAATGTCATAGTGTGAAAAAATACCACAATATACCAAATTATCAACATATTAAACAATAAATTAATACTATAAAATGTTAGATAAAAGTATAATGTAAAAAACTCAAAAATATCATCTTTTTGGGGATAAAAATCATATAGTATGCTTCAACCAATAGTTAGAGATTAATTCTTCCAAGACTTAGAGATGACTGAAATGTGTTTTGTCTTAAGACATCATGTTTAAATGACCCTGCTATCTAGCAACTGTGTTGGGCTTTGTTGGTAATTTACTGATATATATTCTCTAAAAATATATACCTAACTATTCAGAGGCAAAATAATGTAAAAATATTTATTAACATTAAATAGCATTTAATAAGATTAAATTCGTTTTATAACCCCATTTACTTTGACGGTTTGACCACACGGCAAGAGGAGACCCGTGAAGTTGTTTTCCATAATAAAATATAAAAAAACAATTTGGCGAGAGAAGTTGTTTGTTTTTTAAATAATCAAATTGAGGGAGACACGTGGTGAGAGAACGTAGATGACTCTGCCAAAGCCCGTACTTGCCCTCTTCTCCTTTTGCATTTCAGATGGCCGTCTTATCTCTGCGTCTTCTCAGCCAACTCGCGTAGCTTCTCCACAGAAGTTTTAAAAATGGATTCGGATTTGTAATTGAAGTGGGTCTGGCTAGTTATTTGCTGTAAAATAATCTCTGTTTTTTCATATCTCTTGAATGGTCTTGCTTATCTTCTCTCAACTCACTCTCTCTCTCCATCTTTTTCTTCAACCTCTTTTATTTTCCAGACCCCAGTCAAGGCATGGTCGCGCGCAATAACCCCCAAACACCCCAAACTCCTCTTCCCAGATTGGCCGATGAAACCCATATGTCTGCTTTTCCTCCTCCGTCTTCACCGTCTCCTTCTTCATCTTCTTGTTCTTCATTTTACATGAAGAAAGATCCTCAAGAGGACGTCTTTCCCTTCTGGGTATCTGTCCTGATGACACTGGAAGCTTACACGCAAAGACAAAGACCAAACCCATCAACATCAGCTGCTGCAGCAAGACCCTGCACCATTCTCAGGGATACGAGGTTCATGGCCTTTCTCATGGTACCGTTAGTTCTGTCTTGCCTCGTTGTCACTGTCTCCTCTTCTTGCACCCAATTGGATAAAGAGCCTCTCTTGGACTTCTCCAACGATATATCCACAGAACCTCACCCTCCTCTTAATTGGTCTTCTTCTGTTGATTGCTGCTCTTGGGAAGGCATTCTTTGCGGTGAGAGGAATATGAGTAATGGGGATCAGCGAGTTATTGGCTTATGGCTTCCATACAGAGGTCTTTCTGGTTCAATATCCCCTGCTCTCACGAAACTCACTGGTCTGTCTCAGCTCAATCTCTCCCACAATCGACTTTCTGGTAATCTCCCAATCCAATTCTTCTCGCTCCTTAATCACCTGCAGATTCTTGATTTAAGCTACAATCGTCTCTCTGATGAATTGCCGACCTCTGATATTAATAACAAAACCAGTAGTATTATCCAGGAGCTTGATTTGTCTAGCAACCTATTTCAAGGAACACTCCCTTCTTCTTTCATTCAGTACCTTGAAGCTGCTGCTGCAGCAGGGACTTTGACATCTTTTAATGTTAGTAACAATAGCTTCATAGGTTCAATTCCCACTTCTCAACTTTGCATTAGTGACAGTCTCAGATTCTTGGACCTTTCCTACAATAAATTTAACGGTTCAATTCAATTTGGATTGGGAGCATGTTCCAAGCTTGAGATTTTCCGAGCAGGTTTCAATTCTATCTCTGGGCCTCTTCCTGGTGCTCTTTTTGATGCCGTTTCCCTTAGAGAGATCTCCTTGCCCCTCAATCAACTCTCTGGAAATATTGATGAGGGCATCGCTAGCCTCACCAACCTCACAGTCCTGGAGCTCTACTCCAATGATTTCGGAGGATACATACCACGAGGTATGGGTAAGTTATCCAAACTGGAAAAGCTACTCCTTCATATAAACAATTTGACGGGTACTATACCTCCATCTCTGGTGAACTGTGTCAATCTTGTTGAGTTAAATTTAAGGGTCAACCTCTTGAAGGGGAATCTTGCGGAATTTAATTTCTCCGGATTCCAGCGGCTTATCACTCTTGATCTGGGCAACAATAATTTTACGGGCAATTTACCAACAACCCTTTATGCATGCAAATCACTGGCTGCAGTAAGGCTGGCATCTAATCAGCTTGAAGGACAGATCACTCCAGACATACTTGGACTCGAGTCTCTGTCTTTCCTATCAATATCTACCAACTCTCTAAGAAATTTCACAGGAGCTATGAGGATACTCTCAGGCCTCAAGAACCTTAGTAGCCTTGTCCTCTCAAAGAATTTTTATAATGAAACCATCCCGTATGATGAGAACTTGGTTGGCCGAGATGGATTCCAAAAACTCCAAGTGCTAGCCTTGGGTGGTTGTAATTTCACAGGTCAAATACCAGGATGGCTTGCAAGGCTTAGGATGCTCGAGGTCATTGATCTGTCCTATAATCTTATCACTGGTTCAATTCCTCCTTGGTTGGGTAAACTTCCACAGCTATTCTACATAGACTTGTCTCATAACCAACTTACAGGAGTATTTCCCACGGAACTCACAAGATTTCCAGCATTAACATCACAACAGGCAAATGATAGAATAGTAAGGTCTTACCTGGAGTTACCTGTCTTCATTGTGCCGAACAATGCTTCTCAGCAGCAGTATAATCAGCTTTCCAACCTACCACCAGCAATATATCTGAGAAACAATAGTCTGCGTGGCAATATTCCTGAGGAGATTGGCCTCTTGAAAGTCCTACATCAGTTGGATCTGGGTAATAACAACTTCTCTGGCAGTATTCCAGTTCAAATTTCTAACTTGACTAATTTAGAGAAGTTAGACCTCTCAGGAAACAGACTATCTGGTGAAATTCCTGCTTCACTTAAATGCCTGCATTTCTTGTCATTTTTCACTGTGGCAAACAATGATCTTCAAGGAGAGATACCAACAGGTGGCCAATTTGATACCTTCCCTCCTTCCAGTTTTGCAGGAAACTCACGATTGTGTGGTTCAGCTATACAACGTTCTTGCCCTAGTCTACAAGGTAACAATGCATCTCATCGCACTTCAAACAGAAAAATCATGATTGGACTTGTCATCGCAGTCTGTTTGGGCACTGTTTCTATCATGATTGTTTTGGTAATCTGGATACTTTCGAAGAGGAGGATCAATCCAGGGGGAGACCCGGACAAGATTGAACTGGAATCAATTTCTGCCTACTCCAATAGTGGTGTTCATCCTGAAGTTGATAAGGAGGCTAGTCTAGTGGTAATGTTCCCCAGCAAAACAAATGAAGTCAAAGATCTTAACATATTTGAGATCTTAAAAGCCACTGAAAATTTCAGTCAAGCAAACATAATAGGATGTGGGGGTTTTGGTTTGGTTTATAAAGCAACTTTACCTGATGGAACTAAGCTAGCTATCAAGAAACTTTCAGGAGATTTGGGGCTCATGGAAAGGGAATTTAAAGCAGAGGTGGAGGCTTTGTCAACAGCCCGACACGAGAATTTGGTTGCATTGCAAGGTTACTGTGTACATGATGGCTTTCGGCTTCTCATATATTCTTACATGGAAAATGGAAGTCTGGATTATTGGTTGCACGAGAAGCCTAATGGTGCAACTCAACTTGATTGGCCAACTCGACTGAAGATAGCACGAGGTGCGGGTTGTGGGTTGGCTTACATGCATCAGATATGTGAACCACACATTGTCCATCGTGACATAAAGTCAAGCAACATCCTCCTTAATGAGAAGTTTGAGGCACATGTTGCAGATTTTGGGTTGTCTCGGTTGATTCTTCCATATCACACTCATGTTACAACTGAACTTGTAGGTACATTAGGTTACATTCCCCCTGAGTATGGACAAGCATGGGTTGCCACTCTTAGGGGAGATGTGTACAGCTTTGGGGTCGTCATGCTTGAGCTGCTCACCGGGAGGAGACCTGTTGACATATGCAAGCCAAAAATGTCAAGGGAATTGGTTGGCTGGGTGCAACAAATGAGGAGTGAAGGAAAACAAGATGAAGTTTTCGACCCTCTTCTGAGAGGAAAGGGCTTTGAAGAGGAGATGCTGCAGGTACTTGACGTGGCCTGCATGTGTGTCAACCAGAATCCTTTCAAGAGGCCAAGCATCAAAGAAGTTGTTGAGTGGTTGAAGAATGTAGGATCAGCCAAACAACAACAGAATAAAGAGTAGAGAAAAATGATTGTTCTTCAAAAAACCTTGACAGCAGATATGTATACTTGTGCAAAATTTTTTGTATTTTGTACGTACAGATTTTGATTCTTACCACTGTAAATGATGATTATCACGATAATAATGTTGCTATTATCAAGCTTTCAGAAATCGAAGTAAATTATGTGATCATTCATACTCAACCGATGAACCTCTCTGTTTTTGTCACTATTTTCGCTGCTCATGTAAAATGCCATAGCTTCACATAACACCAATCACCCCTAAACTCCTTTTCTGACATGTACAGCATCCTAAAGTTAATCCTCTTCACTCCTCATTTTTAATATTGCGACACTGTTACTGAATTTACTTGTTACCATTGTCATGGTTAGAAATTATTGATAGCAGGAGCAATTGAATGAATGGTAAGTAAACTAGGATAGTGAGTTTGATTCTCTAACTTCTCACTCTCCTCTATGTGCTCCTAAATAAAGGGAAAATGCTATTGTAAGCGTTAAACCATATATCATAGGTCAATCAAGCTGGTGAGAGTGTGTGACCATGTACTACTACTTTTTCTGAGCTGAAGACCATATATTGGGACTTGATATCTCAAACTCATGCATATTTCGCGTTTCAAATGGTTACTTTCATTTACCAAGAAAAAGCCTTGTACATCACTTTGTGAACATTATAAAAATCATGAATATGCAACAAATACTATGTGCTTTGTCTCTCTCCATGCAGTGGTTCAAGACGTGAATAGTCTTGGTTGTGTTTTCGCGTCTGTGTGCAATTTGGTGATAGCAGGACAAGTTAAATAGAAAATCATCAATATCCATTTCATTTCTCACCCAGCTGTCTTAGAAGGATTAAATTTGCATAAGCACCCCAAGTCCTAATTAAGGCCTGTTAGATTTGGAAATGTACAAGACATGATTTTATGATTCTAAAGTGATTGCAATGTAGATGAAATGATATAGTGAACATGCCATGCTTTCCAAGTCAGATAACATTCACAGTTTATTGCTAGCTACCTGGACTTGAATGGAAATTTTATGCATTAAGAAGTACACAAAATCACTGATGAGATGAGTAGCAATGATAGCTCAAATCAACTAAGGAAACCAAAGTTGTCAACTTTATAAATGATGGAATAATGAATAAATGAAGAATGTAAAACAAACAAATACGTCCCACAGACCCATCGACCACGAGCATTGCAACACAACTTTGTAGAATATTAGAATCACACCGACAATTGAACACAGAGGAAAGCTTATACGGTTCTACTTACTTTAACAATTTCGACAGTAATATTAGCTGTAGCGAATGCTATCAAAAGCTATACGTAATCTACATCAAGACCTTTTTTAAAAAATGTTGGTTTCTTTATATTGATTCAAATTTCATATTCGACGCCAAGTTTTACTTAATTAGAGGAGCTTTTATTTATCTAAGCATCTATAGAAAAGCTATGTCAAATTAACAGTTTTCATGGGAGTACATAAAGTCTCTTGGCATATTAAGTGTTGTGTTTATCATCTTTCTATCATTTCTTTCATATCATTCCTTTTTCTTTTCGGGGCCAACTCTTTCATAACATTTTTTAGGCATGCTGGCAGGTAAATTCTTGGAATTTTCCGAGCAAGGTTGGGACTATAATTGATAATGGGTTAGCATGGTACCTCTGTCTCACATGAGGAAATTAGTTTTTTTTTCTTTTTTTTTTGGGGGGGGGGGTGTGATATGGGTGATTCAATAGAGTAAGGAATGTTGCATTAAACATGATCATAATTAGGTTTTGACTTCTGGTCCAACTTTTTGACTAATTTGATTAGAAGCTTGAAAGTATAGTCCACCTAACAGAGGTCATTGGTTTCGTTTTCAGTAGTGGGGCATTTACACAAACACATTATAGGCATGAAATTGATTTTTCTCCAGCCCAACCAAATGTCAAGCACAGGGAGAGTGCCACTCAAGTGCTTCATTTCATTCCTCTCATTATAAAGAAAAGGGTATATCTGCTGTATCATCACAGTAACTCGTGAAATCATACAACAAAGGAAAAGGAGTGCTAGACTATACGCATGTCCACTTCGGAGGAAAAAAAGACAACAAAACAGAGCATAGGCACTAGCTAGGTGCAGTACTGTGACTAAAAAACTAGAGAAGACAACGAACCTCAGCTCAACTTCGACGCGGCTTCTGTCCACAGAACCGGCAAATCAGGACTGTAAATAACTGATATTACAACTTCGAAATCACACTGACCAGCTAGCTATATATGGCATTGACGAGAAAACTTGGGTTCCCAAGAACTTGGAAGTTAATGTTCCAATAAAATTATTACTCTGTAAATACTTGATTTTAGAAATTTAAGGCACTTCCTATGCTTATTAACCGATTGTAGTAAGAACTAGAAAGTTGAGAAGAGATTAAATTCTTTAACATCAGATCTTATCATGTTACGAAATATTTTATTTTTGCTTGGAGACTTGAGACATATCTTTATAGCCACTAATCATAAGGAGAATCTTTTGGAGATATAGTTTGTAAGTGTGTCTCCTGCAAAATGAGGTTAGATGGTCAATTCATTCATTAAATATTACTACTTCTTGTTCTTAATATAAGATTTTGTTTGATTTCTTAATATAAGATTTTGTTTGGTTTTTATTTTAGTCATAAATATAAGACCCCAATCCCCTTTGTCTCATATTTATCTATTTCTTTTCAAAATAGTCTTTGTAATAATGATAGTTCTAGTCAGTAGACTTGATTAGCAGGAGTATTTTAGGAAAGATAATACTTATTCATTACAAATAACTAATTTAACTAATTTTTTTAATATACTCAAATTAGTCAATTAACTCTTATATTAAAGACCCGAGGTAGTATCTTCCTTCCTCTGTCTTTACAATATGATTCCATGGTTCATAGTGTAATGGGAAGGAAGTGGTAACTTATAATATCCAATATTTTGTGAGAAACTGAATTCTTCAAGCATGATGATTGTAAGATGGATTTTTTTTTTCAGTGTAAGATATAATAAGGATCTGATTGGCCATTTTTGTTTAGATATATGTAATTAATTATTAAAGTTTAGTTATTCTTTTTTATCCTTATACCTTTATTCATTTCCAATTTAATCATTATAATTTAAAATATTGAAAGTGAATCATATGATTTTAAAGATTACTTTTATTTAGACCGTTGCTGTTATGTTTTTACAAGAGTTGCGTTTAATTTTGTGTTTTTTAAAAAAACTTCGTATATACGCACCTTTTATACTTTAATTTAACATTTGATATCAGATTCAGAATTTTTCTCAAAGGTTCAAACTCTTAGGGCGTGTTTGGTTTGAGGGGAGGGGAGAGGAGGGAGGGGTAGGGAAGGGGAGGGGAGGTTTCATCCTCACCTTGTTTGGTTTGATAAAAAAGGAGGGGAGGGAGGGATATTTAATGATCCCTTGTTTGGTTCAAAAAGGAGAGGGGAGGGATAGTCATAATCAATTTATTATTTTACCTTTACATATTAGTTTATATTTTTTATTGATATATTATATAAATTAATTTACATCTTAATTTAAATTAATTTTTTAGAGTATAATTTAATAAAAATTCAGTTTTATCATATTAATATGTGCATTAAAAAATTGGTATAGTATTTTTTAATTCTAATTAATATAATAATATATTTGAAATAATCAAATTAAAAAATTTTATATGCTCTAAAAAAATTAAAATTTTATTCTCTTTAGGCTATGCCTTTTTTCAGCTTTAAAATATATTTAATAAATAATATATTTATAAAAAATAATTAATTTTGTAATATTATAATTTTTTATTTAAATAATTTTCCTATTTTTATAATAATTTATAATAAATTATATTATAATATATTTTTTAATTATAATAATTTATATTTTTTATTTTTTACTTAGGATAATATATTTTTTATTTAAAATAAATATTATAATAACATATTTTATAGGTGGTTGTAGAATATCAAAAAAATCATAAGGGTATAATGGTACAAAAATTTAGCTCCCCTCCAAAAACTCCCAATTTGGAAGGGAGCTAAAATGGGGATGGGGATGGGGATGGGGATGGGGATGGGGATGGGATGGGAGGGGAGGGAACATTTTGGCTCCCCTCCCCTCCAAAATTTTTAACCAAATGAGGGGAGGGGCTCATTTTTCCTACTATCCCCTCCCCTCCCCTCCAACCAAACACACCTTTAAGAAAAATTTATTTAACCTAACTACTATTACTTATATATTGTCAATTTTAATATGCACAATTTACCAAAAGTCAAATAGAATTATAAACATTCAATAATAAAGGGGGAAAAAAGCAGGAATATAAAACTTGCCAATTTTGCAAGCGCAAGCAACCACTAGTTCGTGCTTGGTTCGGCGGTCGCACCACTAAAGAGACTTATGTGATGCAAATGCCCATGAACGTGGATCCGCATATAATGAAAATTTGGACTCATATTAAATATATATTTATATATATATGAAGCCAATACCATTGTGTTGTCATATCCAGCTTTGGTCAAAAGATTTCATGATCATTTTAGCATATATTGTCATTTCATCATCATTTTCTTCATTTTACTATCATACTTAGTCAACTTTCTGTCCCCCCCCCCCCAATATCCAAATTATTATGATGTCAGCTTCATATAATAGTAAAAATAGTATTAAAGTCCTTATGAGAGATCTGTACTGCATTAGTAAAGATACACACACTTGTATATCTTAATAAGTGGTACTCCTCCTATCTTTAATATAAGACTTATTTAACTAGTTTGATTAGATTAAGGAAGTTAGGTAAGTTAGTTAATTATAAGAAAAATGACACATTTTTTCTAAAACATCATAATCATTTTTCTTAATACCCCTCTACCTCTTCTACTTAATTATGGTTGAGGGAGTATCCATAAAGATAATTTAGAAAAAATTGATAAACATAAGAAATGGACCTTATATGTAGGACCAAAACCAATTCAAAAATGAGGTTATATATTAAGGACCGGAGGAGTATATGTATTTGTTCATATTGCTTCGTACTTGGTCTTTATTACTTCCGATTTTGAAATTTGACCAATGAAAGAAAGGGCCTAGTATCCGTTTAGCAAAGGTTTTCTTTTAGAATTTTGTTAGCCCAATGATATTTCCCCTTTTAAAAAAGAGAGTTTTTAACTGGTCAACTGGGCCTGGT